CCTCGACCTCGACGACGTCGTCCGCACCCTACAGACTGGCGAGAGGGGTGAGTGGTGGCGGGAGCGCCCGGCTCAGCTACTCGATGGCGTTGGGTGGTGGCCGGGGCCCTGGGAGCGCCGGGGAGGGAAGGTCTTGCGGGAGGGGGGAGTCGCATCGCATCCCCACCCGTGGGGAAACTCACTGCGGTGCTGTGCCAGCATCCCTAGTCCAAGCGGCCCCCGGTGGATGGGGACCACCTGAGCGAAAGCTGTGCCCGCAGAAGTTCATTAGAGCTTTGCCTGCTGCCGCGGGGAGGGATGCTCGCCCTCGGGGACCCCGCGAGCATGGTTTTGTGGCATAGTAAGAAATCAGCTTTCTGCTGGCAGTTTGGGTTACCGAAAATCGCCCGCATCTGCAGAGCAGCAAATCTGTTGCTTATTCTCTGAGATTTTTGAAGTGACTCTCTGTAAGTTCAAAGTCTAAGCAAAGATGTTTTCTTCTCGCCCTGCTGTGTCTTCCCGTGGGGATCCTTTTCCCCGCTCCAGCTGTTGGAAGCCCTGTCGAGTACTTCATAAATAACAAATGCATTTAGGGGAAGCGGTCATTTGCCGGGGGGTGTGGATGCGAAACCCGTGAGTGTGTGCAGTAATATTGCCACCAACTGTTAGCAAAACACTGTGGAGATAAATGGCTTGTAAAACATCTTGGAAAGTCACCCCTGGGCTGGATGAACTGGCTTTGCATCATGAAGTAGTAAAATGCCCAAAGTGCTTTGGAACGTGCAAATTTGTAGTTAGATGTGTTTTAAAGTGAGATCTTGCAGACCCGATGCATGGATACATGGGCTTATGAAAAAGGCATTTTTGGTAAGAGGCTTTTACCAGCCATAGGATTCCCCAGTAAGTTATTGCAAAAAAAAGAAAAGAAAAGGTGTGTTCCAGGAGTGGACCACAGGATCAGGTTAAAGAAAGTCCTTAGCTGTTTTCCAAAACAGACATAGATGTACGAAGTGCTTTGTACAATTTTTACATCCCTGGTTATAGAATGTTAAAATAGCATCAAAATTGGACAGATAAAGATCATGCTGTGTGTGACTGGTGTTACGGTGCTGTAGGCTGTGGACTTGCACTTGCACTGCCGATGTCGTTACGCTGCTGTGAAGTACTTAATGTGCGCAGTAGCGTGTGTGAGAGAAGTGAGATCTAATAGCATATGGCTCTTTAATTCTCTCTTCACCAAAGCAGGTGCTTAAAATAGAGCTTTCCTAGTACCATTCAGGGAAATACACTGAATGGAGAGACAGAAATGTGTAAGTGCTAGAGGAAACCGCTACGTGGGGAAAGATGCTTTTCTGTTTTAATCAGCCTAACTTGTGTGTGTGTGTGTGTGTGTGTGTTTGGCTTTCCTGACGTGAAGACCATAACAACACTCATATGGCAGGAAAAGATGAGTGTTCACCCTTAGTCAAAGGGAGCTGTGGCCGTGCTGTGCAAAGGTGACTGATGGCCAAAGGCAAAGCCCGCTTGTCAAACTGCACTGACTGTATGGGGGGAGAGGCTTGCTTTCAGCCTGGACTTAAATGCTTTAATGAGCCGAGACCTTTGGTCTCACATAATTCTGTGACTAGCAAATGGCTGAACAAAAGCAGCCCTCTGTCTTACTTCTCTCCCCTCCTTGTGCCCTGTGGTGTCCCCTCTCTCTGTCTCACCTCTTCATTTGTCCTCTGGCTCATGCCACTAATGTGACATGCAGCAAGGGAGACGCTTCACTTCCCACTTGTGTCTTTCTGACTTTAAAGACTGATCGTAGGACTCATCTGGCACGTTCTTCTGGGCCTGAGGGATGGTCCTGCCGTTCGAGACATCTTTCAGGCTGTCCCAATATTTTAAAAGTCGTATATCACATGAAGGATGCACCATGTGCCTTAGCTGCCCAGATGAGGTCTTCATTTCTCCTGGAGACTCCTTGGAGATCCCCCGCAATGGGTCAGCAGGGCTTGTGGGCAACAGGGCACCATCCAAGCACTTTCTAGAAACAGTTTTGATTAGTTGGTTTTTCTCACCAGTTTTTAGGGCTCCTGGGTTGCACCTACTGTGACAGCGTCCTGTACTGTGACCCTGCACCTTCTCTGTTTCCAGAGATTGCTGTTAGTGGTGGTCCCACCCGGGTGGTGGGGTTTCCTTGAGCTGCCTGGAGTGGGAGTGGGCTTTCAAGCAGATGCAGGATACCGACTTGAAACTCTCTCAGGGCTGAGAAGGAGGCTGGCCCGTGGGGACCCGGGGCAGAGGCTGGCCCCCTGGGTTAGGTTGCTGCTGGCTGGGGGTTTGCACTGAGCTCTTGGGGGTCTGGGAGGCAGGAGCACCCTCAGCCATGTACCCGTGTTTGCCAGCAGCTGTCTGTTCAGTCCCTGCAGCCGCTTCAAAAGGCTCAAGTCCTGGAGCCACAACACAATCATGATGAAAAGTATGATGATAAAAGTTAACCGCTTGTCTTTAATAAATTTCAGTACTAGTTCAAGCTCCCTAGTAGGCTCTGTTAGCCGTGCTGCAGGCTTGATGCTGTAGGCTCAGGTTAGCTGTGATGGTCACAAACCTGGGACTGTGCTTAAATACGTTCTGCATAAGCACATAGCCCAAGGGATGTGCATAGTGAAGGGAACACTTACTCCTTTAACTGGAATTAAACTCTTAAGTATTTGCAGGATGAGTCAATAATCCTAGTCAATAAATTCAGAATATTAGTATTAGAATTACTGTGGTCTGCGCATATTGTACTGGAGGGAGAACATTTTATATGTGTTTGCACGTACACGTTTATATGTACACAATAGTAAGGTACAGATGCAGACTGAAAACACATAATTTACATTTTTGGAAGATTTTGAGAGACATGCCCATAGCTTATTTGCTTCAAAATCTTGAAATATGTAATCTTTGCTCTCCTACTGAGTTAAAAACCACATCCAAATAGTTAATATTACTTCCCTTACATTCCTTTAGAGGCTTACAAAATATGATTTAATGTATTTTAAAGTAGCTCCCCCCCCCTTTTTTTTTTTAATTTCTTTTGCTCAAGGTCTTTTACTGGTGTTGTGGGAATCTGTTTGATTCCATCTACAGATTACCATTTTATGATAGATGTGAATTATAAAGGCAAAGTCAAGGGAGAATTGGGAGGGCAGCAAGGAAACATTTCAAAAGGAAATCTCTCACCTATACTGAAATTAGGAACAGTGAGACAAATTTGTTCCTGATGTGCATCTGGAAAAGATTTGATCCAAATTTTATTTTAAGAAATTTTTTTTTCTTCTTCTTTTCCTTCATGCTAATATACCTCACAATGGTCATGAAATATGTCTTGCTCTGTTGCTCTGGAAATTGTTATATTACTCTGCTGTAATCAGGAGGACAGAGCTATGCATGGTATAACTCTTCTAAAGCGTGGGGATGTACCGAACGTGACTCACCCCAGCAGCGCATCTGGAGCTTTATGCCTGTGATGGCATCCAACCAGAAAAGCGATGGGAGAAGATTCATTGTGTGCAAAAAGATTTGGCCTGTTTGGCCTTTTCATTTCTTATAATAGCAAACACTTCTACCCAGAAAAGCCGAATGTGGTTTTGATTCAGTTTTATTGTTGGGGTGAAAATATTTGCGTACATTATTGTAGCTTTTGAGCCCTGCGATGCGTGACGGCGTTCTTGGAAATGTGCGTGCAGTTGGTTTCGAGTCATCGTCCCAACAGGATCTCTTACGACTTTGCTGTAGGATATAGCCCCGAAGCACGCACTGATACAATACTTTACTGCTCTCTCTGATGTCAGTAGCTTCATACCCATAGTCTTGTGAACCTATATAAAAATGTATGGTATAAAGTGCTCACTGTGGAAGGTGTCTCCCCATTGCTGAAGACATTGCCTGAGTTCCTGCTTTCCCTCTGCAGAGGGAAGGGGTAGTAAGGGGAACAGCTCCCCCTGCCCAGCAGGCTGGGGAAGAGACCTCTTGACCACAGTTGTTGCAGTGTGGATCATGGTGCTCACACAGAGGACACCTGTGGGCTTGTAGGTCCTATTGTAGTGGCAGAACCCCTGCTTAGCTCTTGGTCTGTGATAAATGAGACTCTGTGGTGTTTAATCTTGTAACCAACTTTACTCTTCATGCTCAGAAAGCGGCCCTTGCTTTTCTCATTTCTGAATATCAAGTATCCCATCAAAGATCGTTGCCTAGGCTTCTTGTATAGTCCCCAGAGACAAAGTCACATCCTGGAGAGGTTCATACCACTTTCCCTAGACAGCTGTAGAGGTGCTGCTCTACATTAGCTGTAGAGAGGCAACAAGTTCTAGACCAGATACCTAAATTTTGGATAGCAGAGGTGTAGGTGAGATGAATCTACACCAAACTGTTCAATGGAATGGAAATTAAAATGGTAATGTTGTGGTATCACATTAATTCTTCATCCTCAGGTTGTCTTGTGTCCACTTAGAAGTAACAACAGAAGCTGATGGTTGCAGTCAACTCTATGAATACATGCAGTTGAAGAAATTTGAAGCTAGAATTTACCACACGTTGCAGGGGTAAAAAACCTTTGATCACAAAGAGGTTCTATTTAATTATTTTCAGAGGAGACAAGGCAGTAGGAAGCCTTTCTGTGGTACCTGTCTTCTATCAGCTGTTTGGGAAATCAGCTTTGTTTGCCGTCTGCGTTGTCATGTTTGTTGCAACACTGGGAGGACAGCTGGGGTCACTGTCTCTGGCAGCGTTCATGCTTAACAGGCTGTTCCCTGAAGTTCTCGAACTGCTTCTTATCTGTGTTTTCCATTTTCTTCCACCAGTTGTAATCATGTGTGCCAGTGGTGACACAATCAGGAACATCATGTTGGCTGCTCATCGGCAAGGAATGACCAACGGGGACTATGCTTTCTTCAATATTGAACTCTTCAACAGCTCATCATACGGTAATGTTTTTCTTGCCCAAGTATGTTGCAAAGTCTTCTGTAAGCCTGCTAATATTTTAGATTTGTTAGCCTCAAAACCGCCGCACTGTGTCCCAGAATACACCACTGTTTTTCCCTGTTGTTGCAGTTACCTTCCACTTGGGCTGCGGTATGGCAGGAACGGATCTCGTGGCTATAGTTGCCACTGGGTGGATGACAAGACACCAAAACCACTACAGGCATTACTTATGTACTTACTTATAGGGGAAGCAGCACTGAAGGGAGAAGTAGGTTATAGCAGCCAGGTGTGGGTACCCCGTGCTGCGGTGTGTGTGCTCAGCTCTAGGTGGCTTGCGCCACCCCCAAGCCTTGCGACTGCCAGATCTCAGGACAGGCCTATTCCCGGCTGCCCGGCAGCCTGCCTGCCGTCTGTGCAGGTGGCTGGAAGGAGTCACAAGCAACGGCCGGGACTGTGGGCAGCTGCAGAGCCTGGGTTTCCACAGGTCACCTCTGTGCTGGCGGATCCACGTGTCTGATTTGTTGCAGCTTTGGATCAGAAACTACATCTGCAAAAATATTTAGCGGTGTTGTGTTGAAGGGAAAGCACTGGATGGGACACGGACAGTCCAAATTTACTAGAGCAGGGTGGATAAAAGTGGCTGATTTCACACCTAGAGTGAAGACGATCAGGTCTGTCAAATTAAAACAAGACTTTGAAATGTAAGTTAAATACATTTGCTTTTTGAAATACACTTACACTCAGTTACATTTGATGTTATGGTAGTGCATGGCAGGGACTAAACCTGCTTCAGCTGCCTCAGATAAATTCAAAGTAATACCGGAGCAATATATTTGCTGAGTTTTAAACAACATCAGATGGCTGAAGCTGAGGCATGTTCATGCCAGGGAACTAGGTTTTGTTGACATGTCAACGTGGCTTTTGAAAGGAGCAGCCTCTTTTGCAGGTGCAGAGAAAATAATTCCCCCCCTGCAGGCTGCCTTAACTAATCCACTACAATAACAAATTCATTTCAAATTGAAAACCAAGTGGGAGCTGAGAAAGAAGGAAAACTTGTTTTCTTTCTTTCTAGCCTCAAAAAGCTGACCAACAGGAACAACTGGATTCACAAAAGGATGATGTATTTTGTTTAATAAAACAGTTAATTGTAAGTTAAAATCTTCTGCATAAACTTTTTGTTATCCAGCTACCACCTCTGAGATTATTTCACAGTGAACAGTGCTGTTAGTTGAAAAGTTCTATAATGAATATATGTAGCTCTTTAAATTCAGAGATATAGATACATACAGAAGTACAGATACTGCTAGATGTATCGTCTAGGTTAGCTAAAGAAGTGCCAAGTTTTGCTAAAGAATAAGGAAATCACTTAAATAACTGAAAGATAAAGTTGCAGAACAAGGTCAAAGCCAGTGGTTCGAATCAAGGTTTTCTTTTTGTTGAGTTGAATTTGGAGTGACTTTATCCCTTGTGGCATAAGCAAAACCATTTGGCATTGCAGCCTTAATCAGGACCAGAGCAAAAAGCTGAAGGTCTACCGGTATCAGCAGTCACAAAACCCTCTAGTTTTGGCCCTTCTGTGCCCCCTGGGAGCTTTGCAGGCTTCACTTTACAAGAAACCGCTGATCAAATAACCCCTCTGGCTGCCGGTGGTGGCTCATTACCCCTGTGCTATTACTGTGTTTCATCTCACAGAGTAGAAATGCTTTAGAAGTGATTCATCTGGCCACAGGTACAAGTCTGTGTGTCAGCTGGGCTCCCTTTGGAGTCACAGCAGAGAAGGTGGCACCCCTGGACAGCGATTTGCCTTGTCCTTCAGTGTCCGCAGTGGCTCAGATGAATCGTCCCCTACAAGTGATGGTTTCCTTGGCTTGGCTGAAATCAGTGCAGGGTGACTACCTGGGAAGCACTGAAGCTGGCTGGAACAGATAGTACCCAAAGTTCTCCTTGAGCAGGGGATGCTCACGTCAGAGCAGCGGCTGCAGGAGGTGGGATGCTGCCATTTGGGATGGTTTTGCTTGCCAGGACGGTACTTGCCAGGAGGCAGTGGTGGTTACAGGAGGCAGTGTTGCAATCCCCAGGCTCAGCACCCTGCCCCGGGAGAGACCCTGGCATCACAGCTGGTGTGGGGTGGGTGTCCCTCGTGACGCAGCCCCCACTAGACGGCACTTCATTGAGCCGTGTACAGGGCAGCGCTGTGCCATCCTGGTGTGGGACCTCCACGCGGCACGGTGATGGGGGCAATACCTGTTTCCCTGCGGTCACGTGGGACCCTCAGCACCATCCTCCTTTGCATCACAGTCTTCTTGTAGCTTTTCCAAGGGATTAATGAAAACTGTCTGTCTTCTGATGTAGCGTAGTTAGAATGTGGCATTTCCTGACATTTCTAAGTAATAATTCTTTTTAAACTAATTTTTCTGTTTCTTTGTGGATGTATTTCCCATGAAGAGTGAAATGACTGTGCGTCAGGAGTTGACTTGTGTGCAGATGGTCATCACATGTGAAAAGCAAGCATAAAAGAGAAATGTAGAGGAAAAAGTCCCCAAATTCCCTGTTCCTAGTGTCCGGAGATACTAGATTTTGTACCTTTTGTAAGACTGGGTGTGATTGGCAAGTTGGCACTTTGCCTTTAAGTTCAGATGACTTTATTGCAGTTTGTTGTTGCCCTCTGTTCTGAATATTTTTAATTTTTCAGAAGAGCAGGCGTGTTAGATGCCAAGGCTGCAATAATTGCACATAAGTACTGTGGCAAGACAACCTCCTGCAGAATAATCCGTAAAGGAATTTAAATATGTAAAATATTCTAGGAACACTGTTATGCAAGTGTACCTTCCCTGTGCCCAGTGCCACGATTTTTAAAAATAAATACGTATAGCATCCAGGACAGCAACTTACTCACATTCTACCAGCACTACCATTTTTGTGTGTCTATAATCTCACTCTTTTTAGCCATCTCCGTTTGTAAATACAAAGCTATAGCAAAGCCCTCTGTGCTGCAGTCTCTGCCGTACTTCTTGAATACCGCACCTCTGACATGCAGGTTCCCAGCTGGGGCAGAGGCTTTTCAGCTTTGAGGCTCTGGCAGGGCTTATACCCTCTTGTGGGGAAGAGACGTGCTAGCTTACAATTGCCAGATGTGCATTTCTTCCGTTTTGAAGGCAGTAACAAGGAGAGCGTGCAGGCACTGAAGGGAAGAGTGCTACCTCTCAGGGCAAAACCAGATGGTGGGATGCTAGCTGCTCTCATCAGGTCTGATGAATAGGGTCCTGGTGTAAGTAATTTTGACCAGTTAAACTAAAGCTTCTTCCTAAAAGAATGAAATCACCTCCACAAAAAAAAAAAAAAAAAAGAGGAAATAAAAGAAATTAAGAATTAGCAAGGTTCGTGGTATTTATAAAGATGACAGTCCTAGCTGGTGCTGAGCTGTGGTAAGTAAGGCTTTCCTGGGGTGGAAGAGAGAGGCAAAAGGGCTCTGATGGTCCTGTGCCTACTGCCCTGTGCTGGGAGTGACAGGAGCTGCCCTGGAGCCAAAAGCACAAGGAGGAACAGCTTGTCCTCTGGAGAAGTGCAGGTCCTTTGTTCTTTCCCCTCTGCTCTCTGAGGAAGCAGAACAATTCTCCAATTACATTTATTGTCAAAAAGAAAAAAAAAAAAAGTCACAGCAGCAGTGCTGGGGTACTGGGAGGACAAAACGTGGGCTCTGTGTTCACCTGCTTTGGGGGGACCAAGGTAGTCCGCCCATTTATTTGCTGTTGCAGGCATGTGGTACAGCTGGTAGTGCTGTGCAAGGAGCACCATGGGTTTGATGCCTGGACTCTGTCTCAGTTAGCATCTCCATTCCCAAACCACTTGCTTCTCTTGGTCTAAATGACACCACGGACCCAAGCAAAGCAGCCACATCCTTTCTCATCTCAGGGTCCTGTGCACCTCCAAGTCGCCCTTGGGAGCTTAGCGTTAGTCTTCATCTTGGCTCATTTAGCCATGATGGGGTTTGTTGCTGTTGTTTGAAAAAAGACTGTCTAGCTTTTAATTATTTGTAAGCATTTAAAGGCACACTGCTAAGGGCTACTAATGTTCCCTCTAGGCCTCTTTTATTTATCATTTATGTAAAATAATACACAACCTGCTCCAGAGCAATGTGAATCTTTCCACTGGTCTCGTGAAGCTTTGGATTGGGGTCTTAGGACCTGGTAAGGTCAGGCCCTGTTAGGCAGAAGGACTCCTCTGCTAATGAACAGACAGTCAGCTAGCCTGCTTTTTAAAAATCTGGTTACTTTACTGGTGGTCTGAGTTAAATTGTTCCCCTGCTGTGACACAAAACACACGTAAATACAGCATAGGCGCAGCATCCCATTTTATTTCTAAGTGTTTCTTTTCCACTAAAAGCAGTGCTGGTCTGGCAGCCACTGTACACATGGTTTTCTCCTTGACCGCAGTGGGAGAGCTGTGGGAGAAGTATCTGTACCATCTGCCTCCCATGCAGGGTCATGATCATACTATTGACTTTATTGGTGCCTTTCTGACTGTCCAAGAGTGTTGCTGGTGGAGTGATGTGTAACAAAAACTTTGTGGTCAGATCCTTCCTCACTTGTTCTAACTTAAATATCTCTGCGTTTGAGATCTGCCACATGTTTTTGCTCTGAGATGTCTTCTCACACTTAGGCTTCATCCCACCCTTTAAAAATAAGCAAACACAGCATGGGAGTAAAGCTGTCCTTCTGTTTGCACATTTACTTCCCATCAACCGTTCCTCCCTGCCTGGTTTCCTGCACGTCTTGGAACAGGTTCAGTTCTCCCTTGTACTTCGCCATCTCCCCAGGGTGCAGGACAGGGGACTTCTGGGTGGGAAAAGGAGGGCAATCCTATAATGGTACCGAATTTGGAGTTGGAAATATGGTTGTTTTCCCCTTAGGAAATGGCTCTTGGAGAAGAGGAGACAAACATGACCTTGAAGCCAAGAAGGCATACTCATACCTCCAAACTGTCACTCTGCTGAGGACTGTGAAGCCTGAGTTTGAGAAGTTTTCCCTGGAGGTGAAAAGTTCTGTTCAGAAGCAAGGTCTGCACGAGGATGACTACGTAAGTACTTGGTGACAGACTTCAGGTCTTAGCATCTTCAAAAACATGCTCCTAATTAAAGCAAAAGTAGCAGTGAGACCTTATCAGGACAGTGTCACCTGGGTTCTGTTGTAAAATCCCATTGTTGCCTATATAATATCTTTTTTTTTCTTTTTTCTTTTTTTTTTTTTTTTGTGTGTGGATGATGCAAATAGCAAGAATAGGCTTGGTCTAGGTGCACTAGATCTGTGCACCACCTTCCATGACTAATTGTCCTGTGCTCATCCCCTTGTTCATCATCAGGTTGGGGAAAGGCATATTGTCAGGTCTCTCTCCCTCTCCCAACAATCACTTGTCTTTTTTTAACAGGCAAAGAACTGTAGTAATCTTTTTTTGTTTTCTCCCAATATTTTTTTTTCTTTTCGTATAATCAGATCTCAGAAAGTTAGACTCTCTGTATTGCATCTGATGAAGTCTTTCTTGTTGTGAATGAGAAAAGTGGTCTTATTTCCCAACTAAGCATATTTAGGTTGTTGCTGTTGTTTATTTTAAACTGTCTAAAATACCAGTATAGACCTTGTGAGTTGTTTTAAGCTTAATGAAGTGCCATTGTCCTCCAGAGCTGGATGTGGGAAAGTATGACTTTTTTTAATCTCTCCAAAAGTAGGAGGGAGATGCCTCTGAAAATTGCTTTTTGAGCTTGAGATCATTAGGCGTTTTCATAGAAAAGTCTTCTGTGAAAGCAAGAATGTACAGCACATACCTATAGGGATTTCTGCATGCTGATACAAGTACTTCCCAGACAGTCAGCCTTCCCCATGATCAGAAGTAAACTTTCCAAATATGCTTATAAAGAAAAGAGGCGCCAAAAGAGTTTGCTCCGTGTTTAGCTGTAGGAAATAAGAGCTAGGAATTTATGCCTAAAATTCAGGAAAGCAACCCAAAGCCCTCATTTGCCAGGTCCCACTTAGGCACCTACCTCATCTCTTTGCTTTAAGCATTGTGTCCCTCACAGGTAGAGGCATCATTTTAGTTTAAAGCACAAGCTGATGAACTTGAATGTTATGTTAATAAATGACCTTTCTTGCAGTTTATTGCAGTTTATTACTTCAGAAAACCTGTGCTTCTTAGAACTTGAATGTATTTTATTTAAGTATTTTACTTAAAATATTGTTTGAATCACATCACTGGCTTATATTTTTCCTGTGAAACTTTCAAAGTCTAGGCAGGCAGGAATAGTCTTTTATTGGCATTCTTTGCCTTGGCTTAGTGGAGAAACCCCAACTGCCGAGTTCAAGGTGCTGCTCTCTGAAAGCTGTAATGTGTCCTGTTCCTCCTGTTTCCCTCTATGTGCCCTTTTTCAGGTGTCACTTAGCAAGCTATGTACCTTGATAATCTGCCGTGTGATTTTTGGTTGTGGTTGATGAGAAATGTGATTTTGAATATTAAAGATCCAGTCATCCACAGTTTTGTGGCTTTTCTAGTTTGGGCAGTGCGACATGTCTTCAGATGAGAAAAGCGTTAAACTGCTGAGAGCTCAGGATGCTCTCTGTGGGTGGTTTGGAGGCAGGCGAGGGGGATGCTTTGCTGTTCTTTAGGATGTGGACCCACGGCAAACCCTATGCAAGTTCAGTGTTGATAGACGCTGGATAGATGCAAGCCCTGTTACGGTCAAGCATGTGGTCCCTGGTGCCAGCAGAGGGGAGATTTTGCAGGCTAATGTGTTTTTTGGGGAGACTCCTTGCACAGCTGCATACCCACTGCCAGAAGTCCTCTTTTCTCTTTCCTCGCTCCATGGTTGATTGTGCCATCGGCCACCCGTACTGGCAGTGCTCCTGGCTGTCCCAGGGCAGTGGCACGGGTGCTTGGCTCCTTGCTGCCTTGTCCTTGACCACCTTCTGCCTGGCTCTGAGGGCTGCCTCTCCCTATATCCCATTCCCACCTGTGATCCAGAGCTTTTCATCTTTCTCCATGCACTCCCTCACTCAAAACCATTAGTCTTTGCTAGGGCCAGGCAGTAGCATGGGGCCCCTCCTGCTGCTGCCGCCTCTCCTGCTCCTCTTCCTGCTCTTCCTTTCCCACCTGGCTTTCTGCACCCTTCCCATTCTCTTCTTGTCAGGCCACAGAGAGGACTTGTGATCTGGATACACCTGCCACAGCTTCCCGCCATCTGAAACATCAGTCCTTGACTGATGGGAAACTTGTGGTGGAGGCCATATGGATCTTGGGCCCCTGTGGAGGAGCTACAGATCATGGATATGGGAGCAGGAGGTTTGCTTTTCATCATTTGTGATTAATTTTACATTTCCCCACTTTGGACAGTGGGAAAGAGATGCTTCATATTCCCGTAACTTACTGTCCTGCTGCCATGTTCATAGGAGAAACATTTTGGGGCAGCCTTCAGGCTTAAGAAAAAAATCGATTTTAAAAACTAATGGGGACACATAAAACACCAAACTGAGGGCCAGTTCCTTCCTCTCTGAAAAATATGTGGGTAGTGGGCACCTCATTAACAGTGCTTTTTTTGGCAGCGTGGGGAAAAAAGTGGCAATTTTAGCCTTGGTGTATGCTGAGCAAGGCTGTGTCCTCCAAGGGAAACTTGAGAGGGAGAGGTCCTTCAGCTGAGTGGGTGGGAAGTGACAGAGATGGATTTTTCTCTGCTGGATTCTGCTCCTGAAAACAAAACTTCTGGGGAAAAATAGTTTGTAGTACAGTCCATCTCAAGTCCTATCCACGGGTGTTGAAATATAATCCTCGTCCTTTTCTGCAAGCTGTGTCCCAAGAGGATGAACTCAGGGAGGTTTGGAGTTGAAGCATTCAGTATTCCTGCTTCTCTGTGTGGATTCTTCCAGTGTCATGGGAAAATGGGGCCCCCGGGTCTGTGGTCTAAATTATCTCGCAGTGACCCTAACTCAAACAAAAGTTGTTAGCACTGCCATTTTGTCCTGGCCTCTTGCCAGCAGTATTCCTAAAGGCATTATTATCTACCAAATAAGAATATCATAAAAATGGAAAATAAGCAGATGACAGAAGGAAAGATAAGGGAGTCAGAAAAGGCAAAGTCCAGCAGCAGCTGTCCAGTTACGGGACTGGAGAACATATACGGCCCTTGGAGGAGTAAAAGGTCAAAGAGTGTTGTTGGCCATCTTCATCTCCAGATGTGAAATCACACAGAAAAGAGAAAAACTTGTTGTGGGTATGTCCTTCCGAGGTCAGAAATTGCTGTTGTTTCTGCAAGAGTGCTATGCTGTGGCGGGGGGAAAGGTAGAAGAGCCTGTGCCTTGGGAGTGAGGAGGAAAGTGTGGAAAAGGCAATTTCTGTGACTCCCCCAGGAATCGCTCTTGTGAAGGAAAAAGCTTCCTTAAGCACCTTTTAACTAAACAGCATCAAAACCAAGAGTAGCAGAGAGGTTCTGAAAAAGCATCTTTGAAGTCTTTGGGCAGGTAGTAGTTGCACAGGATGGGGCTAAAAATGATGATGTTCCCTGTCTGCAATGCCCCATTGCAACATCCCATTGCAACAGCTGCCTGAGTCCGTTAGCAAATATTATTAGTTTGCTTGGTCACCGCTTTTGGAGTCTGAAAGCAGTTACTGTCATGTTATTGTAACCCAAAGAACTGTGGGCTGAAGCATCAGATCTACTCAGCCCTTCTTTCAGCATTCAGTTGCGTCATGATTTTTTTTATTTTTTTTTTTCAAAGAAGATCCTGTAGTTCTGTAGAAAGCCTTAGCGTTTTATTTCATGCCCACCTGGAGACTGACTTCTCTGATAAAATAGCCAAAAAAGTGGAATGTTTTCAAAAATCCATTCAGATTTGGGGTTTAGGCATAAGGGCAGCAGAATCACTTTAATGCTATCATGCAAATCATAGCAGTTTTCTTACTTCTGTAATGTTAATGCATTACCAAGACATTAACAACAACACATCCTGGTCTCTATAAACCAATTGAGGTCCTTGGTTTAATTGCAAAATACAGGACAAGCTCTGCTTGCAGACCTGTAGCCTAGGTGAGGCAGACAGCAATGGGAATTGCGTGCATTTACTTGAAGGAAGAATTTGAAACCGTCTCTGACTTGGTGTGTGAATAACTCCCAACAGATACTCTAGTTAAAAATGTTTATGAATAAATAGCGTTTCGGTTAAAGTATATGCATAAGCCATTTTTATTAAATAATGCCGAACACTTAATGAATTGGCGGTAGCCTGCAGTTTGGAAGCTCTTAATGCACCTTCTGTTCCCGACTCAGGCCTGACATTCAATAAATGCTTTTTTTATGTCCAACCCAGTATTCTGAGCTGGGATGATTTTACAGCCTGGGATATTTGCTCTGCTGAGGTTACAGACCACCCATGGCTTGTTTTTTCTTCTCATTTAAAAGCTGAAAATGTAACTAATTAAACAAATATTTCTGCTGTGTTAACTACGTGACAGCATTGTTTGCGAGGTGGATGCGTGGGTTTTATCCTATCCACAGCCCTTTTCACACAAAAATGAGCAGCAGGAGAAGGGAACTGGAGCCCAGTTTTCCTGTAAAGTTATCTCAGTGAAAGAATGAGCTACGTAGATTAATTACATCAGTGAGATGCTACTACCAATTAGAAAGGGCAAGTCTGTTTTGTTTAACGATTTCAGCCCTCTAAAATGAGAAATAGTCTGCCTAAGAGCAACTGTTCAAGCTCCAGCAGTTAACTACAAAAGCTACGTGGGAGGTAGCTGTGCTCATAAAGTTTATCATCTCATCCATAACATCTGTGCCAGGCTCTTCCCTGTGTGTATTCCTTACGTCAGCCTTTTAATTAGGATTGTACACCAGCTAAGATAAGGGTTGGGAGAAGCGAGCAATTCAGTCATGTCACTGAGAGAGGCACTGAAAATGTAATGTATTCAGCACTGTACGTCCCACTTGTCTTTTTTCAGGCGCAGGCAGGCAAGATTAACGACAGGCAGGCTTTTGTGTCTCTTCTGACTACACCAGGCCAGGAGAGAGTTTTGGGGAGATATTTTTTTTTTTTTTTAAA